ATAGAGACAGAGGCCTGGGGGCCAGCTTACCGCAGAAGCAGAGCCCCATTTCCCTGCCAGAGCTGAACGACTGAGACCCGGAACCTCCCCACTCTGCTGAGCCCAGAGCTCTGCTACCTATATTGCATTTTGATTTACTTCTGGGTACAATTTATTTCCAAAAATAAAGAGGTCAAAATTGAAGTTTGGAAATTTTAGAATTAGAGGATATTGATAGACAAGTGGTTCTTGAACATAATAATAGAACTTTTTACAACAATTCTTCCTTCTTCCATTTCTATTCAGCTGTAAGAATAAAAGGCGAGGGGGCAGGGAACCACTGGCTGGTGTGGATCAGTGGTTAGGGTGTCTCGGTTGTGGCCCAAAGGGTCTTGGGTTGATTCCGGTCAAGAGCACATGCCTGGGTTTCAGGTTCAATCCCCGACCCCAGTTGGGGCATGTGTAGGAGGCAACCGATCAGGTGTGTCTCTCACATCGATGTTTCTTTCTCTCTCTTCCTCTCTCACTCCTTTCTGCTCTCTCTAAATATCAATGGAAAAAATATCCTCGGGTGAGGATTACTGGGAACAACCTAAGTATGGGGACATTATATAAACACTAGTGGCCTGGTGCACGAATTCGTGCACATTGAAAGGAAGTTAATTAGAAGAAATATTTTTATATCGCTATTCACCCTTTCTCTGTAGTAGAAGTGTCAACCAATTGCACAATCGACAATGACAGATGGAAACACACGTGTACGATTGGTGCCAGCGAGAGCTTTATATGTATCTCGCATGTGCAAGTCAACTTGGCCCCTGGTGGTCAGTGCATGTCATAACAGGCGGTTGTTCCACCAGTCGTTCTGCAGTTCAGTCGATTTGCATATTAGGCTTTTATTATATAGGATAAGCTAGACTTGTATGTCAAGACATATTCAAGTGGTGAGGGGGGAAGATCACAGTACTAGACCATTTATGGAAAAATATTAGATTAGATGTACACACACACACATAATAAATTTCTGGGTCACACAAAACCATTAACTTCTGTCATCTCAGGGAAGTGAGCCTGGGTAATGAGAGGGGACTTCTGCCTTTCATTTACCCCAGGAATCCCACCGGCAATCTCTCAGTGCACAGAATGACACTCAACCAACTGAGCCACTCCAGCTGGGCTAATATCCTTGTGTATATCTCTTGGTTGTACATATGTAAAACAGAGTGATTTACACTTCTGTTTTTACCATTAGAGCATATTGCCTTTATAATGCCAACAAATAGATAGATAAATCAGTGGGAAAAGTAAATAACAGCATAAGACTCAGATGTTGGTTTACCAAGATTTTACTTTAAAAGCAAAAATCACACAAAATTCTTTTAATCGCCTTTTTATGCTGATCACTTTGGGGAATTGATACCACTCACAGAAACAAATCCCAAAGGTGGCTGCTTTTACAGAATGATAAACAGAACTGCGGTTAGAGTAGATTGTCTGTGGCTCTTTCACAGCTCTCTGTAACTATCTGCAGAGCAGGTCACCAATATTTGCTTTATTTCAAATCATCATCCTAAAAAACATAAACTGTTTTTTCACCTGAAAGAATATGTTTTTCAGAAACAGATTCAAAGAGGAAATAAGGGCCCAAAGCGCATTAGCAGAGCGGGCGGGCCAGCACGCATAGCCCAGCCAGGGTGGTGCCCGGCCTCAGTGACACCTGGTGACATCGGGCGTGGCTGCTCAGCAGGCCTGACCAGAGACACGCCTGGCCTCCGCCTTGGGGCAACGCCGGTCCTGCTCAGCTGGCTCCCGCGCCAGGCGGCTGACATGGGCAGAGCCGAGCTGTTGGCTTCATCCCCAGAGACAGCACTTGGCTCACACACTGGACACACTCGGGGTCTGCAAAGCCTTCTTGGGCTCCAGCCTGGCCTTCGAAGTCAGGAAGTTAGTGGCTGAAAGGGAAGAGAAAGAAGCCGAGTATAGAGACAGAGGCCTGGGGGCCAGCTTACCGCAGAAGCAGAGCCCCATTTCCCTGCCAGAGCTGAACGACTGAGACCCGGAACCTCCCCACTCTGCTGAGCCCAGAGCTCTGCTACCTATATTGCATTTTGATTTACTTCTGGGTACAATTTATTTCCAAAAATAAAGAGGTCAAAATTGAAGTTTGGAAATTTTAGAATTAGAGGATATTGATAGACAAGTGGTTCTTGAACATAATAATAGAACTTTTTACAACAATTCTTCCTTCTTCCATTTCTATTCAGCTGTAAGAATAAAAGGCGAGGGGGCAGGGAACCACTGGCTGGTGTGGATCAGTGGTTAGGGTGTCTCGGTTGTGGCCCAAAGGGTCTTGGGTTGATTCCGGTCAAGAGCACATGCCTGGGTTTCAGGTTCAATCCCCGACCCCAGTTGGGGCATGTGTAGGAGGCAACCGATCAGGTGTGTCTCTCACATCGATGTTTCTTTCTCTCTCTTCCTCTCTCACTCCTTTCTGCTCTCTAATAATATCAATGGAAAAAATATCCTCGGGTGAGGATTAACAAAAAATAAAAGAGTGGGGGGCTGATAATACCTGCCCTCCAGACCACAGAGCTTCTCTCACATCGATGTTTCTTTCTCTCTCTTCCTCTCTCACTCCTTTCTGCTCTCTCTAAATATCAATGGAAAAAATATCCTCGGGTGAGGATTAACAAAAAATAAAAGAGTGGGGGGCTGATAATACCTGCCCTCCAGAACCCCACAGAGCTGCTGGAAGGATCAAATGAGGTAACAGCCATCTTCAGCTAAGAGGCCCTTGGGAAACAAATTTATTATTTCCTTCCTTTATAATGGAGGACAGATCCAGTTCAAATATTAGTCATGTAAACAAGACCGTGTGTTTCTTTTAAAAGGAGAAGGAGGAGGAGGAGATGACGAGGAGTCCGGATAAGAAGAAGCAAAACAATGACAGCAGCAACAGTTCAGTTACAATTTAAAAAGGGAGAAACTGTCTTCAAGTGCCTGCCACTTATAAAGGAAATAGGGAGGGGGACAAAGTGTGAAGGGAAGCATGGAGAGGGAGATGCTTGTATCCACTTGTTCTGGGCCAAGGACTGTCCAGCGTGCGAGAAACTTCACTATTCCCTTTCATCTGCACAGAATATGATGCAGGTGTTGTTATCCCCATTTTACAGATCAGAAAACTAAGGTTCAGAGGGAATAAACCATTTAACCATGGTAGGGCAGAAACACTACTCACCAGGCTGGCCTGCTTCCAGGGGACATATTCCCTCCTCGGCCTTACCGCTGGCTCCTCCTCCTAACGTGGGTGAGCCCTGGCCTTGCTATTCTCTCTCCCTTTCTGTTGCCTTCCTTTAAAATCTGTGGTCTCTCTTTCATCCCTTGTATTACTTCCTCTGTGCAGATCCTCTGTCCTGATTTCCAGCCCCCTGGACAGTTCCTAGGTAAGATCCCCGCCTGTATAAACACAGTGTCTCTAAAAGTAGCTCCTGGCCTAGCCACTCACACTCCACCCGCTCCTGGGGGTAGCTCTCTTCTTCCCTGCCCCCGCCCCCCTGCCCCCCCCCAAGCTCAAAATCAGCAGCACTGTTGGTCGTTTCTCCCCTTCCCCATATACACAATCACTCCATTATCTCAATTCTTTCTTCAAAGTATCTCTTACTTCTCACTTTTCTTTTCTACTTTTCCTCCTAACATCCCAGAGCCTTCCGTCTGCTTGGTTCCTGCGGAAGCCTCCCGCGGGCCCCTCAGGGCTCCCAGCGTATCCTGCTCGCTGCTGCCTGATTCATCTCACCCCCTACCTGCCCGCGCCCTCGCTGCACACGCACGGCCTCCCGCAAACCAGGCCTGCACCCTAGGCTGCCGCCTGCCCCTGGCTTTCCAGCCCCATGCCCCCTCCTCCACTCTCCAGCGCCTCTGTTTAGCACAGTGGTTCTCAACCTTGGCTGCACATTAGAATCACCTGGGAATCTTGTTAAAATCCTGATTTCTGGGCCTCATCCTCCGGAAATTCTGTTTCTTTGTTACTAATGATGAGGCCCAGAAATCAGGATTTAACAAGATTCCCAGGTGATTCTAATGTGCAGCCAAGGTTGAGAACCACTGGTTTTACACAAGGATCGCTCACTGTACACCACCCTCCCAGCCCCACGCGCCTCTCCTCCTCGCCCCCCTGCGGCCCCAGGCCCTCCCGCTGGCTGCCCCTCCTCCCTCCGGCGCCTCTCGGCCACGGCCTCCAGAGTCGTCCTGGCAAAGCCCGACCATTCCCTGCACTGCTGGCGGGCAGTGACGACGCACTGCCTCCGACCTGCGAGTTCGCCTGGACCGGGCACTGAAAGGGACCAGCGCTGTTTAATCTCCCCCGATCTCGGTCTCCTCACCAGGCAGCAAACCAAAGGTGGAGACTAACAGGTCTTGGTTTCCCCGCAGGGCCTGCCAGGATCGACCAGGCCAGCCTCTGCCTGCGGATCGGTGCCTCGTATTTCCCTGTCCTTCCCTGGGCTCCGGGTCAAAGCAAACATCCCGGGGCGCGGGACGCAGGGCTCACTGCACCCTGGACCCCGACTCCCTCCCTGGCGACGCCCCCGCAGCCCGGCTTCGGGTCGCCAGGGGCCCCGGCCCTTAGGAGAGAAAGCAGATACTGCACCTTTAAGTCTGCAGCCGGTGGAGAAAAACAAGCTGTGATTTATATAAGCGGGAAAACCATGTATTTGCAGGAAACTCTCCCACCTCCCCGG